GATTTTTTTTAAAAAGGAGAAGTAAGATTTGGGGAACTACAGGCCAGTCAGCCTCACCTCAGTCCCTGGAAAAATCATGGAGCAGGTCCTCGAGGAATCAATTCTGAAGCACTTAGAGGAGAGGAAAGTGATCAGGAACAGTCAGCATGGATTCACCAAGGGCAAGTCATGCCTGACTAATCTAATTGCCTTCTATGACGAGATAACTGGCTCTGTGGATGACAGGGAAAAGCAGTGGACGTGTTATTCCTTGACTTTAGCAAAGCTTTTGACAGTCTCCCACAATATTCTTGCAAGCAAGTTAAAGTAGTATGGGCTGGATGAATGGACTATAAGGTGGACAGAAAGCTGGCTAGATTGTCGGGCTCAACGGGTAGTGATCAATGGCTCCATATCTAGTTGGCAGCCGGTATCAAGTGCAGCGCCCTAAGGATCAGTCCTCAGGCCGGTTTTGTTCAATATCTTCATTAATGATCTGGAGGATGGTGTGGATTGCACCCTCAGCAAGTTTGCAGATGACACTGAACTGGGAGGAGAGGTAGATACGCTGGAGGGTGGTGATAGGATACAGAGGGACCTAGACAAATTGGAGGATTGGGCCAAAAGAAATCCTATGAGGTTCAACAAAGACAAGTGCAGAGTCCTGCACTTAGGACGGAAGAATCCCATGTACCGCTACAGACTAGGGACCAAATGGCTATGCAGCAGTTCTGCAGAAAAGGACCGAGGGGTTACGGTGGACGAGAAGCTGGATATGAGTCAACAGTGTGCCCTTGTTGCCAAGAGGGCCAATGGTATTTTGGGATGTATTAAGTAGGGGCATTGCCAGCAGATCGAGGGACATGATCATTCCCCTCTATTCGACATTGGTGAGGCCTCCTCTGGAGTACTGTGTCCAGTTTTGGGCCCCACACTACAAGAAGGATGTGGAAAAATTGGAATGAGTCCAGCAGAGGGCAACAAAAATGATTAGGGGACTGGAACGCATGACTTATGAGGAGAGGCTGAGGGAACTGGGATTGTTAAGTCTGTGGAAGAGAAGAATGAGGTGGGATTTGATAGGTGCTTTCAACTACCTGAAAGGGGGTTCCAAAGAGGATGGATCTCGACTGTTCTCAGTGGTAGCAGATGACAGAACGAGGAGTATTGGTCTCAAGTTGTAGTGGGGGAGGTTTAGGTTGGATATTAGGAAAAGCTTTTTCGCTAGGAGGGTGGTGAAACACTGGAATGCATTCCCTAGGAAGGTGGTGGAATCTCCTTCCTTTGAGGTTTTTAAGGTCAGGCTTGACAAAGCCCTGGCTGGGATGATTTAGTTGGGGATTGGTCCTGCTTTGAGCAGGGGGTTGGATTAGATGACCTCCTGAGGTCCCTTCCAACCCTGATATTCTATGATTCTATGGTCCGGACTTGCCCGCTCCTCCACGGGGGCAGGAGTTGACGTGACCATCTCTGGCAGTGGGGCCGAAGTAGTGTGACCTGACTTGAGTCTCACAATGGCCGGCACCTTGGGTCTAGTTGTGGGGACGGGGAAAAACAACCCCTCTCTGGCCTCCTCTTCTTCTGCGGCATCGGCAATTGAGACCTGTGCCTGTCTGTGGTATGTGAGCCACAAGTGGAGCCATGACGGTGCTGAGACTCTTTGTCTTTACTTGGCACCGATCTCTGTACTGATGGTGCAGCGGCACTGCGTATTGAGGAGAAGGTACTCGGCACCAGGTCGGTTGGACTGGGGCTGGAGTGCCGCTTCCATTAGTATGATCTTCAGGCGCTGATCTCTGTCTTTCAGTGTCCTGGGGAGAACCCCCCCGTGCAGATCCTACAGCTATCCTTCTGATGGCTCTCCTCTAGACACTTCAAACATGAAGTGTGAGGATCGTTTCTGGGCATACACTTGCTGCAGACTTCACAGGCTTTGAAGCCAGGAGACCACAGCATGCCCTAGTGCCGGGACAGCACTGGAGGGGAAACCCCTCAAAAGAAAACTTAAGAACTAAGTAAAGTACCTACTAACTACTTAAACACTAAGTACAAAAACTAATGAATAACTATATACAGACTGGCACCTTAGAGAATTGGTTAGTCTCTAAGGTGCCACAAGTACTCCTTTTCTTTTTGCGAATACAGATTAACATGGCTGTTACTCTGAAATCTATATACAGATTGCCAAATGCGCTTGTCATGACAAGAGCAAGGGGAAGTTCCAGCTAACTGTCACTGGCGGTAAGAAGGAACTGAGGAGGTGGTGTGTGGGCAGGGCGCTATATTGAGCACCTTGATGGTGCCACTCCAGGGGGCGCTGGGACCGACCCGATAGATACTGTTAGGGGAAAAATCTTCCGGCTGCCGTGCAGGCATGCACACGTACACACACCTGACTGCAACTGACATGAACAACCCTTCAAAGAGGAAATTAGATTTGTAACCATTAAATTCTAAAGGACAGCAAAATCTGAAAATAAGAAAATGGAAGTTTCATACTGGCTTGAAAAGTGAAAGACTTGTAGGTAGGCAAATAAAACTGCAAAACATAAAACTGGTTTTTGAAAAGGAGTACAATTAAGTCAAAAGGCTGGACTATTAGATATGTACTCTACATTCACCTACCAGATAATTCTCAAAAAGAACAAAATCAATGGATGCAAAAAAATCACTTTTATGGATTTAATAAACACATTCTCCCAACAACCTCAAACAAAATGGGTACAGTACATGAAGCAGACAATGAGAGCTAAAGTGGGTGTTCCAATCTTTATGGTGACCTGCAAGAAAAAAAAAAATCAGCTTACTGCCTTTTTTTGCTTCTCTGATGTATAAACAGGGTCCAAATTTTTTTTGTTTTCCTTATTTTAAAATTAGAAATGTAGGTGTTGTCCACCCTGGAAGTGTCAATGATGACTGGTAAGAGCATCACACAAACATGCTGAAAACAGCAGCAGGTCCTCCAACAAAATCAGAGAAGATGTCAGACTTGAAATTAAATATTTCTAACTTTAAAAGTAATCAGAAAAAACACTTCTTAAAAAGCCAAAACAAACCTACTCGACTTCTGGCTTTATATATTGTAGAACAACACAAGGATATAAATCCTTTTCTGTCTCCCAAATCCTTTGCATGTCACTTTTGACTTTCACCATGAGAGTTGTTTTGCCAGGAATTGGAAGTCTTGCTAGCCAGAGACATACTTGTGGGGTTTTTGGTTGTTGCGGTTGTTGTAAGTGGACAATTTTGGGGGGTGCATGGGCAAATAAAATAGAACAGACTAACACTTAGAAAAACTCTCCAAGAAAATCAAATTGATAGGCACCCAGCCTGCATGCCATAAACATTAACCAAATTCTGCTTTTGGTTTTGCTCTTGAAAGTCCACTGAGCAGAATTTTGCACAATTGTTCTAAGAATTCAACATGCCTTAGGTAACTTATTTTTATAAAAGTTTATCACAACGTAAAAAGAAAAGGAGTACTTGTGGCACCTTAGAGACTAACCAATTTATTTGAGCATAAGCTTTCGTGAGATACAGCTCACTTCATCGGAGCTTATGGTCAAATAATTTGGTTAGTCTCTAAGGTGCCACAAGTACTCCTTTTCTTTTTGCAAATACAGACTAACACGGCTGTTACTCTGAAACCTATCACAATGTAGTAAACTTGAAATTAAAATATAGATTTACTTGATCTATATTTTCCAGCCTTCTAGACACTATTGAAGATGGTTTTTATTTCAAACAAAATCTGTCTCCTCCTAATCCCATCTTTTCTCTAGCTAGAAACTACAGTGAAACTTCAATCCTCCATAGAGAAGGCTGACACTAAAACAAGTGTCATGTCATCAGTTTCAGAACTACATCTTCACTGCTGGACCAAAAAAGATACATAGTACAAAGCTGCAAAGTCTCACTTAATGATAAAAAGGCAACAATATTTCTTACACATTTTAATCCAACAACCATTTGTCTGGTTATTTATATGGCCCTCACCCCCCACAATATCTGAGTACCTACCAAAGAAACAAAGAACACGATTCTCTCCACCCTACCCCTTGGTTCTACTTCCTTTAGTAATACTTTTTCCAGTGGCTCTGTTTTAAACCTGATTTAATCTGAAGCTCTTCTCCAACCCCCAATTATGGAAGAAATCCTTAGTGTTAAATATTAGATGTAATTTTTGTAAAGGCCAAGGGATTTGTTTATATTAACAACTGTGATCTACAAAAGGCAACAGATAATACACACTGTACCTTCCTGCACCAAGCCCAATCTCATTCCAATCTGTACTAAATTATGTCAGATTATGTTCTGGCACATCAAGCTGTAACATATCAAATACACCACTGAAAGTCGTAATGGTTCATAGAGAAATATTTATGTTCTCACTGGAAATAAACTCTTCCATTTTTCCTCTGAGAAGACAGCTACCAGTTTACCTGCAACTGTCAGGTGTCACCAGCCTATTTCCTTTCTGATGCATAGGAACTCTCTCTCAATCTCTAATATGGGTAAACCAGAGAATTGAGATACTTACTTCATACAATATGCAGGCACCAAGCCACGCCACACTTCTCCCTTATGAAACGTCCCTTTCAATACAAATGTAATGACGCCGTCACTGCCCTGCTCCAGCTAGTATACTAATGTTTATAGTTGGCAACACTGTCTTCATGCTTCTAGCTGAACTTTTTGAAGTAACACCTGGTAACAGTGACGGAGTTCTCTATATGTACTCTTTTTCAAGATTTTAAAAAAAAAAAAAGTGTCATCCATTTTCAACTTTAAACCTTTTTTTAAAAAGGAAAACCTTATACAGCAACTTCTACAGTTGAACTGTTTGATAAAATATTCTCATTTTTGTTAATTTTCTTACAGCTGATTTAATTTTTCTGAAGCAGAACAAAAATCTGTAGTTCATGTATTTATCACTAGAGTGACTTACAGTGCAAATGCTCACGATGATTATTGTGAATTAGTCAAGAAAAAAATACCACAAAATCATGCAAAGGGCTCACCACAGGACTACTTCGAGCTGAACTTGCTCTCGAAGAATAACTGTATTCAGATGGCTATAGACAAAAGTTATGAGGAAGAAAGATTTTATAATTTTTAATCTTTACATTAGTAAACGTTTTCAGAAAATAAGCTAATTAGACTTACAGTGTGAGAGTTATAGGAGCTATATAATCCATTACCACACAATGATGCCTGGGAAACAAAGGGAATGGATCATTGTTTATAACTAGTGTCAAAATAATTAAAATGTGACAACTTCGAGTCATGCAAGATAATAATTCTACTACTGTGCAATCAAACTTCACCCTTATGATATTCAGTTTCCATGCATTTTCCACCAAAGGCTGTACTTTTTGAAAGGGGGTAGGGCCAAACTTGTATTTCCTTTTTTCACCACTTCCTCCCGTCATACAGGGAATTCTCTAAGAGGAAATCAGACTATTCTGTTAAAAGGGTCAGATTTTTAAAAAAAAAACAAAACTATTTTTAAATAGTATTTTAAACCTTAACTATGTTTAACCAAAAGATTAACATTTAAATTACACTTTATATTTTCAGTTTTATTTATGCTGTTTATCTTTTTGAATTTCACTCAGCTTGAACAAAAACTAGACGAGCGTTTCAGTGAAGATGCTACCTATGCCTACAAGAAGGCTTCTCCCATTGGCATAGATAATCCACCTCCACAAGAGGCGGCAGCTATGTTGACAAAAGAAGCCCTCCCGCAGTAATGACAACTTCAAGAGATCAAAAATCATGAGCCAGACGCCCAAAAATCACGAGATTTTTAAAGATGATTACATCGTGTTTCTTAGGTCAATCTCTTGATTTTTGAACTCCTGCCCATCCCCAGAGTGTGTGCATGTTACAATTAGTATTGCTCACTACATATATTAGAGAAGCTGATTTTGGCCCTGGCTGCAGGGGCTCTCACCCCCACATCTGCCCATCTCCTGCCCAGCAATTAATCCTGTCCTCTAGTCACTCATCAGTTCTGTCTCCCCTCAACGCCCCCTCAATTCAGCTCCCCATCAGTTCAGTTCCCTCACCCCCAGCACCACCATCCCATCAGTTCAGGCACTGACCCCATCAATCCCCACTGCCATCAGTTCAGCACTCACCCCATCTGCTCAGAACCCACAATCAATAAAAAAACCCCGCCTTTCCCCCCCCCCCCATGTTAGCATGCAGGCCATAGCTCCAGCCACTACAGCGATTTCTAACGAAAAGTAATCCTGACTCATGATCTGTGGATAGAATTCGCAAATGTCAGGATTTTTTTTTCTTAGAAATCATGACTCTCATGATTAATTCACGAGAATTTTGTGTCTGCTCCCGTTAAGAGCGCTGTCTGGATGGGGGGTTAGGTCGATATAACTATGTTGTTCACGGTACTACATCACTCAGACGTAGTTATATTGACCTATCCCCCTGTGCAGACCATGCTACGTCAATGGGAGGGCTTCTCCTGTCAACACAGCCACCTCTCATGGAGGTGAAATACCTGTGGATTTTTCACACCCTTGAACGGTGTAGTTATATTGATGTAAATTTATAGGGTAGACCCAGCCTAAGTGCCCATGTAGGCAGAACTAGGCTGATGAAAGAATTCTTCCATTGATTTAGCTACTGCCTCTCAGGGAGGTGGTTTATCTACAGTGCCAGGAGAACCCCTCCTCTCGCTGCAGTGAATGTCTACACTGAAGCACTGCTGCAGCAATTTAAGTACAGACAAAGCCGGGGTCGGAGGGGGGGCTCAGTATGTCGTCAACCAATTAATAATAATGCAGAGCTAAGATTCTTTAATATCATATTGATATTCAGGGTTTAATACTTACCCCTAAAAGAACTCAGCATGTGAGTTATTACCAAAATATAGAAAATTATTTAAAGGGAAGCTATCAAAGTTGAGATTCTTCAAATATTAATTGAATCCACCCAAAAATGTGTCAGGCTTACCTTACAAAAAAAAGCAAATAAAACTTAACATAAATCAATACATACACACATACCACCTAACCAAACATGCCAAACCCATGCAGGGGAGGAGGGAGAAAGAAATTGGGCTTGTTTTTGGCTTAATTGGCTTGTGAGAGTTGCTTGTTGGCTAGTTTTTGGCTTGTAGCTTGCTGCTTGTTTGGCTTACAGCTTGTTGTAACTTGTTGCTTCTTTTTTTTGATCGGCTCCCAGCAAGCAGGGGCAAGGAGGGCAGAGAGTGAGGGGTACACAGTGGGCCCACCACACTCCCAGACTGCACGCTAGTCAGTCACACAGAGTGTTGGGGTTCTTAGGGATTGGCTTGTTTTAGCCTTGTTTTGAAATAGGATTAGCTTGATTTTTGGCTTATTGTGAAAGTTGGCATGCTTATTTACCACATGAAAGTTGGCAACTGTGCACCTAACTCTCTAAACAACTTTTACAGGATTCTGATCCTCAGATGATCTGCGAGGTTATATCACAAAAGGAAAATTTCAGAGTTCTGGTCATATACTGCTTACATTATGCTGACGAGGAGCTTTTCTCTTAAGATGTGTGCTGACATTTAAAAGAGCTTGATAGTACAGGAGACAAAGTTTTAAAGCAAACTAATTTTTAGGTTGTGTGGTAGTAACAAGGGAAATAGTGAAGGAAGAGTGACTTTCATATTTGGGACTTGTCATCTTTTATTGTGTGCCATTAAGTCATTAAAATGACTGAAGAAAAAATAATTTGATGCACAGCAATTTTGTTTTCCTTTATCTTAAAATTATGTCTTTGGAATTTCATAGTGTTTTGCAAGCTAATAATTAGTCTATGTTATCAATTATTAATATTTTGGCCAGAGGAGGAATGGGGAGAAAGATTAAGGTGACGTTTAAAAGTGACTCATTTTGTTCTGAACTCAATGGTATAATAATCTGATTAAATGTACACCAGCTGCATTAACACACAGTCAAATCATCATGTTAGTATTTTTTGCAAGGTGATGGTTGGAAGAGGTAAATGTGCATCCAAAATCAGGACAAGATCTCACGTATCATAAGCAGAGCAAGTGGATTAGGGAACAAATTAAAGACTTTTAGTTATTCTTTTTATTGTCCCAAATTCTCAAAGAAGCTTATGGCCCGCTTGTCCTAGGTGTTGTATAAATAATTGAAAAGCCAAATAAAAAAGGTACCACAAGGTAGAGCAGTTTCAAGTTGTCTCACCAATGTAACATTACTTAGACACTTTTTTGGTGTGTGTTATTTAAAGGTGGCCAGCAAAGGAAACAAAATTAGAGGCCTGAGGGGGTTTTCTTAAAGTTAAAAAAAAAAACAAAAACAAAACAAAACAAAAAAACAAAAAAAAACCCCACAGGGGTTGTGTGTCACTTTTAAAACTGGAATTTCATTCTTTGTATAGGCAAGAAGATGAAAAAAAAATCACTAGAGAACTAAGGAAATGTGACATCAAAAGAGCAAAAACAAAGTTAACCTACTGGGAAAAAAAAGATCATCAGGGTTTAAATTTTCTTTTTTTTTTTTTTACCAATATCTTAACTGCAATGACTAATTAACATTTTGGATAAAGAAAGCTTTTGTTAAAAAAGCAACATCATTGCTCTTTAAATTAAGAGGGTAGAGTTGGAAATTAACATCCCTAACACTCCCTAACAAAACCAGAACAGATGACATTTGATATCCCTGATATTTCTAAAGTAAAAAACAAGTAGAAAAAAGCATCCTGCATTCCACCCTCTCTTTATAAAGAAATGAGCCACAATTTTAAAAAATCCTGTGGAAATCACCTTTCAGAACATCTTCTATATTCCTGTACATTTCACATTATCTGAGTCATGCAAGCTTTAGCTTTATTTTAAAATGCAGCAGGAATGCATACGCAGTACTCTCAAACCACAGTCATTTGAATGCAGGTTTAGGGCAACCATGCAAATGGACTCATACGAACCAAACTAGCACTTCTTATCAAACCCGTGTTTACGCTAGGAGACACCTATAAAGAAAAGAGTAATTATTTAAAGAAACAAAAAACTATTAAGATATCAAAAGTTAGCCAAAAAGCTTTTTCACACCGTACTAACCCTATAGGTCTTAGTAGTTGCCGAAGGATCACTGTAGAGAGAAGAGGACTGTGATAGGGGAAAAAAAAATGTTTGGCTGCAGTACAAAGGAAGGTTTAAATCCATTGTTTTATATTTGCAATGAAGCTCTCGGAATTTAATGAAACACATAAAACTTAGATCTAGTACGATAACATATTTTAAAGGAACCATACATCTTGAAGAACAGAAGTCTATAATATGCTAATTAAAAAGAGTTAGTATTTTTATGGTAAAAACGTGGCATGAAAAAAGCATGAAACATAGGACTCGATGGCTCGGTCATGCAATTTCTCTCCTTGGTTACAAATATAAATCTAACCAAAGTCTACAACAGACAGAAACTGTTACCCTCTGATGACCAGAAGTTTATTATTTGCACTATGATAGCACTTACAGTCCCCCATCGTTGACCTGGGCCCTAACATACTATGCTCTGTACAGTGCATAAAAGTTAAAGTGTCAAAAGTTTCTGGTTTCAGAGTTCTGCTACTAAAGAAAAGACAGCTACCGTATAGTAGCTGTTTGAGATGTGGGTGCAGACACTTATTCCACTCAGGTGTGTGCACACCCAGTGCACAAAAGCTAAAGAACTCATCCTAGCAGTACCCATAGGGATGGTACTCATGGTCTCTGGTCCCTAAACCCCTCTCCTGGTTATTTAAAAGGCAGTGTCACCCCAATCCCACTCAGTTCCTTCGCATCAAACATCAAGAGATGCGACTCTTATGCAGAAGGCACCATGGGTGAGTCGTGGAATACACATCTGCACCCATCTCTCAAACAGTTATCGTCCAGGTAGGTAACCATTTTTTCATCGTTGATTGGTTCAGTCGTGTATTCCACTCAGGTGATTCACAAGCTGTATCAGTAGGAAGTAGGCTCAAAATCTACTTAAAGAACAACTGCAGAACTGCCTTCCCAAAGTTTGCATCTGATGTAGATGCAACCATAATAGCATAGCATTTGGTAAAATTATATACACAGGAGACTAGGTGCAAATGTCCAATATCAAAACATCATTGATAAATGCGATTGATGTCACTTGAGCTCTCGTTGAATGAGCCCACAGTCTTTGTGAAGGTGTTGCCTGAACTACTCGTTATGCTGTCATAATACAGGAAGTTATCTGGAAATAGTCTGTGTGGTGACCACGTGATCCTTCATCCTGTCTGCATAGGAAACAGAAAGAAGTTGAACTACTAAATGGTTTAGTCCTCGCCAAATAAAAAGACACACATCATTTCACATCCAACAAATGAAGGTGCTGCTCTTCTGTGCTTGAATGTGGCTTAGGAAAGAATACAGTAAGCATATTATTTGGTTAATGTGAAACCACTTTATACAAAATTTTAGAATGCAGCCCTCGAGCTAGTCTTTGAAAAACTGAGTAAATGGTGGCTCTGCCATTAAAGCCTGCAGCTCACTTACTCTTCCTGCAGATGTGAAAACATGACAGGTGCAAGAGAGAGGGAGAACAAGTTGCCAGGGACTCAATCGGAGAATCCACGAGGGCAGCCAGCACAATATTAAGGTCCCACAAAGGAACTGCTTCTTTCACCGGTGGGGAAAAACACAAATGATTCCTTAGATACCTTACTACCGTGGGGTATGAGAAAATTGACTTCCTTTGGATCATAATATGGAACGTCGAGATCCCTGCTAAGTGGATCCTCAATGAGCTGAGAGACAGACCAGAAGACTGAAGGTGTAACAGATATTCTGAAATGCCCTGAACGTGGGCTAGCATCAGTTGATTCCCCTAGGCCAATGACCAATCCAAAAACCGCTTCCACTTGGCCAAATAGGTAGCGCTAAAGGAGGGACTTCTACTATTGAGTAGCACTTGTTTAACAGCTTCCAAACAGTATTGTTCCTCTTCATCTAACCATGCCACGAGCTGCAGATTACTTAATGTTGGAAATCAAACTTGACCCTGGTGCAGAGTTAGTAGGTTGGGATAAAGAGGAAGAGATATGGGATATCAAACAGGTAGACTGAGGCGGCTGGATAAACAGCTTTGTCTTGGCCAACTTCAGACAGCTTCAGTTTGAGAATAAGCCGAGATCGGGAGAAAGGAATACATCAGTGCCAATCCCCAATTCAGGTGGCAGCACCAGTTAAGGAACCTGGACTGAGATGCACTTGAAAGAAAAACTGATAGCACTTGTTATCTCATTACAAACAGGTCAATAGCCAAGATGCCCTATTCTGCGAAGATGGTCCTCAGTGAACTGATCTTCAGAGACTAGTCACGATTCTTGGAGAAATTCCTGCTGACGTGATCGGCCAAATGATTCTGGACCCTTGGTAAAGGAGATTCCATGTCTTCGCCTCCATATTTAAGCATCTCAGGATGAATGCCGTCCAAATAAGGTGCCTTGTTGTTTTGCCATCTTCTGCAATGCTTTTTTTACTCCTTCGATTTTTACCTCAGATAGATCTATATCTAGGACTAATGGTTTATCATGGTTAAATTCCAGTCTTGTAATTGATTCTGGTTGGTTTAGCACTTCTCTGAAGTGTTCCACCCATATAATTTCTTGTTCCTCCTGTGTTTTCAAAATTTCTCCTTCTTTCTCTTTCACTGGGACACTTCTGAATTTTGATCTATATCCTGTTAACTGTTTCAGGATCATGTAGACTGTTCTTGTACTGTTTCTTTACCCTGATCCTTCAGCTTCACTAGCCTTACTTTCTACCAAATTCGCTTATCTTTTTTGCACTGCTTCTTTACTGCTTTGTCAAGGTTCCTGTAGGTTTGTTTTGTTTCGTCAGTTGCATGTTTTAGTACTAGAGCCTTTAGTTTTATTTATAATTTTTCATGCTTCTTCTGAGATCCACTGTTCTTTACTGCTTCCTCTCTTTCTACCAATTATCTTTCCAGCTGCTTCTAGCATAGCTGTTTTGAAAAGATCCCACTATATTTCCACTTTGTTTTCTTCAAGATCGTTAAGGGCCTCAAACCTATTCTTGACCTCTATCTGGTACACTTTTTGGATCCTGAAATCTTGTTTCTGTGTGTTGAATAATCTGAGTCTGTTCTCTCTTTTTAAGTGTTTTAAACTTCAATTTGATGTTTGCTTTCAGCAAATAGTGATTGCTCCCTGTATCTGCTCCTCTGAATACTCATGTCTAATGATGTTTTCTATCTCTGACTAACACAGATATAGTCAATCTCATTTTGTGTACTGCCATCTGATGAAATCAGTGTCTTTTTGTGCATGTTTTATGTTGGAAGAAAGAACTGCAGATGCTAAGATTGTTTTCAGCACAAAATTCAAGAAGTTTTATGCCATTGTCTGATGTTGTTCCAGTTATATGTGGGCTGATGACTGTTTCCCAACCTCTTCTTTTGTTTCTGATCTGGGCATTAAGTAAAAAAAGCATTGCAGAAGCTGAAAAACAACAAGGCACCTGGTTTGGATGGCATTCACCCTGAGATGCTTAAATATGGAGATGAAGACGTGGAATCAGTCATCTGTTCGCTGTGCAACAAAATATGGATGGAGGCGAAAGTGCCGGAAGAATGAATTCCTTGTATCATAAGCAAGTTACCAACGAAAGGTGATCTAAAGTTCCAATTGTTCAAATTGGAGGGGAGTAACATTTCTATCTGTCACAGGAAAAGTATTAGCAGCAGTCTTCTTGAACAGAATGAAAGGAAAGATGGATACCATCCTACGCGAACAACAAACTGGATTTAGACAAGGGAAATCGTGCACAGACATTATTTTCACCCTAAGACAGTTTATTGAGAACACAATTGAATTCCAAGGCAGTCTTGCCATCAATTTTGTGGTTTTTCAAAAGGCATTCAATAGTGTAAACAGAGAAACAATGTGGGAAATTGTGGAACAATATGGAATTCCAACACAATTAATTATTATGAAGGTATTCTACGCCAACTCAAAATGCTGCATTAAAATGGAAAGTGGATTGAGTAAGCCATTCAACATCAAGACAGGTGTAAGGCAGGGGTGAGTCCTGTCTCCTTACTGCCTTAGACCATCCCATGCTTTGCTGCACATTGGGCTACCCACATTTGCCATCTTTGCCTGTCAACTGCCCTTCTCTCCAAATCTTCCCATTTCATGTTGAGGTGCTTGATGTCGTTCAGAACTGTTTCTATGTTATTCGTGGTCTTCCTCTCTTTCTTCTTGCATTTTCTGGCTTCCATTCAAGGGCAGTATTTGGTAAGCGTTCTTTTTCCATTCTCAGTACATGTCCCAGCCGCTGATGTCTTCTTTTGTAGATTATTTGAGAGAGGGTGTCAGTAATTTTTGACTTCTTTTGTCTTCCTATCTCTAGATGTTATTCCCAATATTCTTCTCAGACATTTGTGATGAAATGCATCCAGCTTTCGCTTATCTTTCTTGGTAAATTGCCATGTCTCACTGTTATATGTTGTGATGGCGATAACAATTGTTTTGTATGTGTTCAGTTTTGTCTTAAGGGAGATGTTTTTGAGTTGCTAGATGTTTCTGAGTCTTCCAAATGCAGCATTTGCCTTCCCGATTCTTTTTCTTATTTCCTCTAAACTAGTACCATCTTGGCTGATGGTACTTCCAAGATATGTGAAATTGTCCACCTTCTCCAGTTTCTCGTCTTCGATTTTGATTTCTGTCCCTATCATCCCCATTAACATGACTTTACATTTCTTTGCATTGTATCTCAAACTTATCTTTTCCATTACTTCTTTTACTTGTTTTGTCCATTTTTGTAATCTGTTGGCATCTTCACTGATAAGAACGATGTCGTCAGCAAAGTCTAGATCAAATAGCCCTGAATTCTTCCATTTTAGGCCATATATATCACTGTTGCATTGTTTTAATCCATAGTCTATGACTAGCATAAACAAAAAAGGAGACAGGATGCACCCCTGCCTTACACCTGTCAAGATTGCGCCTTTGACCTCAAAAGGTCATCTTGTCCAGTCCCCTGCACTCATGGAAGTGCTGCATGAAGGAGAGCAACATTCCCACAGACACTCATTTACTGCCAAAATGTTATTGCTTCCTAACAAAGCT